CACATACGCAGGTACATGTACATATACAGAACGACACTGACCAAACAACGCGACAACACTCCTAGTCCCTTAGTAGTCATCCCATAACTCTCCGATGCGGAAATCGGATAAGCGTCGCGCGCGAGACTTAGTAAAAAACCGCGCGGCCGCAGGGCTAACTCATATCGACTCGCAATGCAAACGTACGCAAGCGGTCGCAATGATGGTGTACTATGTATTACCCATACTCATGCGATCCTCGTTAATCTCAAGGGTCGCATTCGACACTCAAGTGTCGGCTGACACGCGCCTTGAGGGTTGATCTCTCGACGCTGGACAACCGCCAAGTGCGGTTAAAAAACACACCCTCTTCTGCACCCTGCAGAGAGTGGGTGGTACATAGGTTCATACCTGTGGTGACAATCGTCTCTTATCGCCTTGGAGACCAGCTCCATCATCTAAGGCCTGAAGAGAAGTCAAGGGGTTTAACTTTGACGGCTGTCACGGACTACAACGTCCAACTATAAAAACCTCTAAAAAACAAAGGATAAGGAAAGGTCTCAGTCCCCTCAAAAACATAATATGTTCGACTCTTACGCGTGGTCGCAGTAGGCCGCGCGAAACATTCAAGACATATATATATCACATAAATATAAAGGGTTATTAATATATGACGATCACTTCTCACAATCACAGTGGAGCTCCTCTCAGCTATATATATATGTATGTGAGCGCAGGCAGTCAAAATCCAAAGTCCGAATCACCAAGCACTACACGGTGTCAACTTCAACCATTCTCTGCACTCACACCCCTTGCTTTTAGCCATACAAGCCTCACTCTTACGCAACCCCCAAAATAAAATACTCAGTATTTTTTTTTAAATGGTCATTCAAATAAAGTCCGGGTGAAAACACAACAAAACAGTTCAAATCACAAGGCTAAAGCCTTTAGGTTGAGTGACAGGAGTGGATTGGTGTTGAATCGTCAACCGACGAATCGGCAACCGACCTGTTATCAGTGGTAACAGAAGATGATCCCTGTACGATCAAGTTGAATCTAGCCCAAATCCTGAATCAAGCGATCAAGAAGACCTGTAACACAAGACATGCCAATCCCCAAGCTAAATCTATAAGTCCATGGAGAATAATCCCCATGTCATGATCTCACTGAAATCATCCTATTTAACTAAGTCTAAGTCTACCTCTAAGCCAGTGCCCAAAGAAAGCTAGACCCTGGCAGAGTCTCCTCTACACAGAGTGGATCGCCCGAATCGCCACCTGTCGAAATATAATCTAACTCCTTCTAACTAAGAAAATTTCGACAGCGCTTCTCGTAGGAAAAGTGTTTTTTCAGAATTTATATCAGCCCGAATATGAAACCAGAAATAGCCTTTGACTTTCCAACGTCAAATTTTGTCTACCTCCCTGGATTAGCAAAAATTTGGACAGCACTCCCTTTAGAAAAGGAGACCTTCCAGATTTATTTTAAGTCAGATATGAACTCAAACATAAAATATGAGTTAAACTAAGACAAAATTTAACTCACTCCTTAGATTTGTAGAAATTTTGGCAGCGCTTCCCATAGCGAAAGTGTTATTTCAAGATTTATACAAAGCTAAGTTCAGAATCTAAAATGACTTTGACTTCTCAAGGTCTACTTTTGTCTACCTCTTTGAATTAGCAAAAATTTGAGCAGCACTCCCTTTAGAAAAAGAGGTATTCCAGATTTTTACTGGTAAAAAAGTCAAAAAACTTAGACCCTGAAAAAAGACAAAGTCTGACTAACTCCTTGGTTTTGTAGAAATTTCGGCAACGCTTCCCGTAGAGAAAGCGGCTTACCAAGATTTATACAAGGCCAAGTATAACAAAAGATCCCAGAAAATGCAGAAATTGACCTAAATAAAATAAGTCAACTCAGAAAATGTAGGAATTGAAACTAACTCCTATGACTCTAGCACGTGGCGAGCAACGAAAGCAACTACCTATCAAACTGAAACTCAGACTAAGTAATAGCCTCACTCAGCTACATGCAGGTCAAACCACAAAGGTAAGTGCTCTCACCATCCCCACGTCAATTTAGCAAACAATAGTTCATAGTCTTTCAATGATTTATCCTTTTATACCCAGCTTACAATAAGGCATAAAGCTAGACCACCTAAACTTATGGAACATGTCTAGCTCAGCCATGGAGTATACACAAACATAGGGCACAACAACTTTTCTCTTCTTTAAGCATATGACTAGGTCACCCTAGTCGCCCTGAACTGTTTGAATATCCCAACTTTATATAATTGTCTACACTTAGTCTTTTAAGGTAGCATATAACTGAGTCGATCATCTTCAACTCAAGACTCAGTCTGCCCCTTCGTACCACAAGTTTCTTCTTAATTAATACTCTCTGCAGTTTGTGATATATTATAGTCAGACCACCCAAACTTATGGAACCCTGTCCGACTAGCCTATTCATAGATAATGCAATAGTAGAGTATAATCAAGTTATAACCTTCAGGTTCCAGCATGTGCGAGGCGTTGGACTAAGACCACCCAAACTTATGGATTTGACTGACACCTTAAAAGTCAACCGCATTCACCCCTCACAAATCAAAGCAACCAGACCACCCAAACTTATGGATTTGACTGGCTCTCCACACAATCCAAAGATAAACATAGCAGTTGGTTGACCTTGTCAAACATGCAATACTGCCTTCCTCCCGTCCTTCCCCCAGATGCAATCCCACAATCTGCTTTCAGTCAAACAAAGAAAGTGAAACAGACATTGTACATACATTCCTTTACTTAGTCTGGTTATGTCCTGAAGAGAAAACAAGAATCATAGGGACACGCATGCATACGTCAATCAGACTAAGGGGGAATAGGCAAACATGGGCTGACTCCCCACAGAGCCTTGATGGGCAGAGTTCCCGCAATTGGTGGGCTGACTCCAGAACCTCACCTTGCCCAAGTTCCGGCAAAGCTCCCGCAATCAGTGGGCTGACTCCCCACAGAGCCTTCATGCGGTCCTACGGGTTGCAATCCCGCCTGTCGCCTTCCTCTCGTAACCAACAGACTCAGTCGCGACTCGCGTGGTACACTTAGATTTTTAAAGTTCGTGTCACTTGCAAAACCCCAGGGCAAATACCCTTGTCAGGGTGTTCGCACCGACATCGGAAGGCGTCCTCATGGAGGGTTGTCCAAGCCCATGGCGGGTAAGGACGTAAGAATATCGAGCGTATCCCTGGATGAAATTACTATAGTAGCTAGTGAGGCCTAGGAAGCTGCGAAGCTGCTTGGCGGACTCCGCAATAGCAGTGGTCTTCGCGTCGTCCATATGGAGACCCTGATCAGACACATAGTGTCCTAAGAAATCCACTTTGGGTTGGGTAAAGCGGCACTAGCTCAACTTGGCGTAGAAACCATGTCTGCGCAAGCGGTCAAGGACATCGCGGAGGTGTCTGAGATGCTCCTCAACGGTACGACTGTAGACCAGGATATCGTCGAAGTAGAGGAGAACGTACTGCTCCAGGATGTTCCTAAAGATGCCATTCATCGCCCTCTGGAAGGTAGCGGGTGCGTTGGTGAGGCCGAATGGCATCACCGTAAACTCGTAGTGGCCGAAGCGCGATCGGAACGCTATCTTCGGCTGGTCCGCTGCAGCGACACGGATTTGATGGTAACCGCTACGAAGATCAATCTTCGTAAAGAAGCGGTTGCATGCTAGGCGGTCGAACAGCTCGTCGGAACGAGGCATGGGGTAGTTGTTCTTAACCGTATAGCGGTTAAGGCCGCGATAGTCGATAAAGAGACGGGGAGTTTCATCTGCTTTGCGAGCAAAGAGGACGGATGCACCCTACGAGGAGTTGCTGGGTTTAATGAAACCCAGTCTCAAGAACTCCTCAAGTTGACGTTTGAGTTCGGTGGCCTCGGGGATTGAGAGTCCGTTGGGTGCCTGGTGGTGAACACGATATTCAGGCACGAGTTGGATGGAATGCTCGACGTCGTGCATCGGTCGGATGTCGGCGTACGAGAACGACGATGGGAAAACGTCGTGGTACTCTCGAATGAGGTCATGAACTGCGAGCTCTAGGTCGGCAGTATAGCGTGCGAGTTCCTCAGCGGCAGCGGCAGCGCACGACGGCGGGATGGACTCGACAAACGGCGGAGGGACGGAAGTAGAGATGGGAGCTATGGAGATAGAAGGAGGATCTGGCTCCAGAAAGATGAGCTCGACGTCGGAACAGGGTGGATCATAGTGCAAGAGATCCGTAACGTTCACCATAAAGAAGGTGACGTCGTCATGTCGGATGAAGTGAGCGAACTGCCGAGGCGAGGTGACGGTGATAATAGGAGATGGTGTGGGCACAGAAGGCTCTGGGGAGGAGGGTCGGGGCGTGGTGTCGCGGTGGTACCTATGAAAGGTACGCGATACATCTGTCCACACTTCGTTTTGAGAACGAGAATGTTGGTCGCCCAATCAGCCTCGGTGCTGCAGAACCGACGAGGCCACGAAGTGTCGAGAATGAAGTCGTACCCCGTCTCCATCACATTGAAATGTGCAGAGGAGCGGTGGCGACGAGACGCCGGGGGACAATCAGTCTGCTCGAGAGGGAGGAAGAAAGGGAGGTCGGTGACTGTCTTATCGAAGAAGCGTTGGGTCTTGTCATCCCCTAGGGTGACAGAGATGGGAGTTGGAGACCCTGTCGTGGGTAAGCGGGCTTCTTTCACCACACGTGGGTGAATGAAGTCGCCCTGAGAACCGGAATCACACAGCGGTGAGTACACCCTCGTGGAGGTCCCCTGTAGTACTGGAATGATCGGGAGAGTGCGATCAGGGTCAGAGAGGATGGTGAGAAGGCGACATAGTGCAGCGACATGGAGGGTGAGTCGCTCCTGCCGAGCTTGGAGCATGCTCAAGTCCAGAAGAGAGGACACAACGTCCTCACGAGTCGCGAACTGCTCGCTGCAACGGGCTGAGCGAATGGCTCTACACGTCGGTAGTCGCGACGGGGTAGGAGGGGAGACGGTGGTCTGCGGAGGTACAGACGGTACTGCGGCAGAGGGCTGAGTACACTCTGTCGGGTCCTACGATACCTCAACTCCAGGAGCGAGAGGGGCGAACTGCGACGGAGATGTCAGAAAACCAACTACTGAGGAGGGCGCAGGAGTACACTGCACCGAGGTTAGGAGGCGCCGCGGGGATGCGAGGCGCCAGGGGGGGACTGAGCACGACACTGGCGGGAAAGGTCAGCGTAGTGGCGGTTAAGGGCGGCGGTGTAAAGGCACCGCGAGGAGGTACGACCGTCCTGGCAGCATCGCAAACATCCACATCGGCCCAAAATGGTCGCGCGCTCCTCAGCGAAAAGGACACCGTGAGGAGGGACAAAGCCTTAAGGGAGGACCTGCTGAGGGACCTCTGCGGACGACGCGCCAGCGTGACCGGGGCGGCTGCGTTCCCGGGAGAGGGCGGAGAGGATGAGCTGGAGGCGCTCGGCTACAGGGAGAGTAGAGTTCTCCAGGTGGTAGTGGACGGCCTCGCCAAGGTCGAGGTCGTTGCTATGATCACCCTAAGGCGAAAGTGGGGCAACAGCGTCCTGCTCACCATACTCGAGCACGCTGAAGCGGCGCGAGAAGTGGTGGCCCTGTTGTGCGGAATGGCGGGGGTGGCCACGGAAAGGGAGCGGCATTGGGAAGTGTCGTGAGAGGAGGAGGGGGCATAGCCAGTACGCTGAGGCTGGGAGGAGGAGGCGGAGTGAAGACGGACCCCACTGATGGGTCCTTGCGGCCTCGTAAGCCTACGGGGCCGATGTGAACTCGTATCGCCATAACTCGAAGCGATACTCAAGGGGAAGGTTGGCCAAGAAACGGCCAATGAGGGCAGCCTCGGGGAGGAACGCCACATCACAAATCAGACAAGCGTCCTGAAAGACCTGGATATGGCGGTCCAGGCCGGCAGCGCCACCAGAGCCGGATCAGCGTGTGCTAACGACATGCTCGAAGGTGTCAGTGACGTCATGTCGGGCTCCGAAACGATCCTCGAGGAACGCCTGAAAATCCATGAAGGTCGGGGTCCGACCCTCACGAAGGGAGTGCGCGTAAAAATCCTCCCAGGCGTCGAAAGGACCCCCACGCAGGCGCGTTGAGAGGTAGGCGCGTGGAGAGGTGAGTCACCCACGTGTCGGGTGGGGCGCCCATGAGCTAGAGCGTGCGGGTAGCAGACTGCAGCTACCGAGACACGTATATCCCTGTACCGTCGTACAAGGCAATGTCCGTCAAGCGGACGAGTGGCGCGCCACCGTTTTGGCGGCGAGGGGATCGAGGAGCAGAGGTCTATGTTACGGCTGAGTAAGTCGTCGCAAGTCCTGGAGAAAGGGGCGAAGCTGACTGTACACCCGGGCTGCATGGGGGAGCGGCAGGGGCAACCGCGGCAGGCTGCGAGGGAGTTGCGGAGGAAGAGGTCGCATCAATCGAGGGAATAGGAAGAAGGTAGGATGGGGATGGATAGGGTGCAGGGCGAGGGAAGCGAGCCTGCATGGAAGGAAGAGTAGAGGAGGAAGGGGGTGCGCCCGAAGGCGTGGCTACCTGTGAGGGTAGGGGTGGCTGAAGGCGTAAGAGGGCAAGGTCGGACCGGGTCTGGGCAAGCTCGTCCTCGAGACGTCGAATGTAAATTGAGCGAGGAGTGGCAGGAGGAAGAGTGGGGGAAGTGGACGCACGAGCGGCGCGGGGCATGTGGCGCTACGGTCAGGTGGTGCTACGGTCGTGCGAAGGGGAGGGAGAAGCGGGGCACCCGGAAAAGCTGAGACCACGACAGCGGGTTGTGGTCTCGTGACCGTAGTGACCGAAATCTGGGCGGGTGCACCCGTAGAGTGAGGGAGGGTCTGGCCCGTGGCGGCCGTCATGCTAGGAGCGTGGACAGTCACCAAGATGGCCGGGTCGGGGGCGACATAGGAGGAAGCTCCGTCATGGCCACCATATCGGGGGACGGGGGACTCGGACTAGGAGCCAGGAGAAGAGACAGAGTGAGGAGAGGAAGGACGACCAGCATCCTAGAGTTGCCGCAGGCCAGCGACAAGAGTCGCCACCTGCGCATGTAGAGGTGCAAGAAGGGAGGTGATGAGGGTGTGCAGATCCCCCTGGGGCTGATGGACCTGGTCCGTCGGCACGGGTGTGGAGACAGATGTTGAGGTCGTCGCCGCCTCGGCGGCTTGGGACACGCTGTCGGCCATGAGGAGGTAACAGGCCGGACTAGAGAGGGTCGGGGGAGGTCCGCGTGAGCGGAGGGCGTAGGGGGAGGTCTGCGATAGAAGGCGACGGGCGGCGCTAGTAAATCGAGCGCGGACGCCGTCAAAGGGGGAGGGGTGGTTCGGGTCCAGGGTGCCTAAATGAGAAGGGAAAGGTGGGAGGGGGGTGGTAGGAGAATCCTAAACCCTAGAAAAAACCTAAGAAAACCCTAATCGGGGTTTGAATGTATAGGGTAGGGTACCGGTGACCCCATCAAAAAATAAAATAGCAAGCATGGAGGGGAGCCGGGGGAAAAATAAATAAACGGTGAAACTTTGAAAGCAAAGTGAAAATAAATAAATAAATAATACATAACTAATAAATAATAAAAATAATTAATAAAATAAGTAAACATAATGTGAAAAGAGAAATAATATTTATGTTTTTGGAAATTTTGACAGCATTTCCCTACCCCCCATGGGGTCAAGAATGTGTAAGGGAAAGGAGAAACCAAGATAAGCATACTAAGTTTCAAAATGCCGAAAATTAAAAATTTCATAAAATAAATAAAGAAATAAGAAAGAGATAAATAAATAAATAAATAAGTAGATGAGGAGGTGGAGAGAAATGAAGTGTCTGATTTTTCAAAAATTTCGGTAGCATTTCTTTACTCCCATGGGGTCGAAGTGTGCCGTCAAGAAGAAAGGCCAAGTAAAATGAGGAGATTTTACCAGCACTTCGCTAGCCCAAAGGGGTCAAAATATGCTGAAAAGACTACGTGAAAGAAAAACAGAAAATTTCGGTAGCACTTCATTACCCCCACGGGGTCGAAACGTGTGCCGAGAGCAAAAATGACTCACCCCTAATCAGATTTAAGGGTGCCGCAAGGAAATCCAAATTTTCAAAATAAAATATAAATAAAATGAAATAAATCAAAAAAAAAGAAAAGAAAGTGGGGGATAAGATAATTCGAATTTTTGGAAAAAAAGGAAAGATAAATCAAAAGAAAAATAGAAAGAAGAAAAAACAAAAAAAATTCGAATTAGGAGTGAAGGAGAAAAGAGAGAAATACGTGGGAGAGAGAAAAAGAGTGAAGGGGGAGATGAGGGAAGTGATGGGTTGCAGTTGGGGGAGGGGAGGGTGAGAGAATGGGTGAAAGGGATGGGAAGGGTGGGGAGGGATCAAGAAGCAAAGAGAAAAAGGGAGAAAGAAAAGAAAATAAATGTATAACATAGAGTAAAATAGTGGGTGGTGGGAGAAAAGGTCGGGTGGGGAGAGGCGTATAAGTGGTGAGAGTGATTAGAAGGAAGTGAGTGAGGCAGAAGAGGAAGAAGTAGAGGGGGTGAGTAAGAGGAGAGAGAAAAGGTAGGGAAAGTGGGTTAGTAGGGAGAGGGAAGAGAGTGGGATGATACCTGGCCCTTGGTGTCTCCAAGGGCACAAGGTATACCAAGACCAGGAGGGTCTTGGCCTTCGCTGCCACAAGCCAGCTGGAGGAGAGAGGGGGCTGAGATCTTGATCAACCCCTAGCAGCAGTACTGCAGATCTGCAGATCCAGGGTATGCTGTGTGAGCAGACCCTCACCAGTGTAGAGCAGCCCCCTGATCAGGGGGGTCTTCAGTTCCACAGCAAGCTGCCACGTGGCACTGCAGATGGCCACGTGCGCAGGTAGCAGCAGCCACGGGGGGGGAGGAGTGGGGGGGGGGGGGGGGGGGCGCAAATAGCAGCCCGGCCGTTGCTGCCCTGCTGACCGCTGCTCGCCGGCGGAGGGGTGGGGTAAATAGCTGGCACGCATCTCTTCAACAGCAGCGTCCCACACTACCAAGCCATATGTACACTGTGGGGAGTGTGTTATGGAAGTGGCTACGCACGCACAGCAGCTGCCTGGGTTCAAACCCTGGCAGCAGCATGCATCCCGGATCTTGAAAATAAATCTGGGAGCGGAGCGGGGCGGGGCGAGGCAGCGTGGGCACGTGGCGCGTGTGTGTGTGTGTGCGGCGGGCGGCCTTGGCGTTTGCGTGCACGCATCGTAACGGCAGCTCCTTTTTCCGCCACGTGTCGCTCCCTGCTGCACCTTCCTTTTCCCTCGTTTTCATTGAAAACCGCCCGAAAAACAGCAAAAAACCTCGCTATCGGGTTTTGTTGTTTTCCCTGCCGTGCGGTGGTGGGTTTGGGGGGAAACGGTAAACGTTCCCACTCCGATACCAGTGTGGCGGACCCACAAAGTCTGGTGCTCCGCCTGGGATAAAGATGGAGATGGAGGAAGAAGGGGGAGCGAGATGGCACAGCACAGCTCCCACGCTAGACTCCAACGCACGTACTCCAAAGTGTGCGAATGTAGAATGATCCGAAAAACAGACAACAGCTGGGGTATACCCCAGCGGACTGACGGGACGGAACTGGACTGGCTGGTACTTCTGTGGCTGGTACCTCTGTGGCTGGTACGGCCTGGACTGGACTACCCCGAGTACAACACAGGCATGTGAGAACAGGCCAAGGGGCTGGTCTCACAGGCCAACCAGAGGTCCGCTACACTGAAGGCACGTGAAGACGATAGCCGGCTTTGTTAGCTGTCGTGGATGAGGAAGGTGACAATCAGGTAGGACAGGCCTGCCAGGCCAGGTTGTTGGAGCAGTGCACGCGGATCCGAACTAAACGGTGGGAGTATCGAGCCAAACACGCAGGTGTGAGCAGGTATATTGCTGAGGGCAAGGCCGAACGGCTCTCAGACATCCGTGGCGGAAAGTTAGGTGGATGCGGGAGTGTGGTCGGCCCCTTGATGAGTGTTGGAGCGCAACCAGCCGAAACGCGTCGGGGAATGTGTGCGTTTTTTGGATTTTTCGCTCTTGATGGTGGTGCTGTAACGACTTTCGTACGTGCACGAGCGCATAGCATTGGCCTGCTATCTCCTCCTCCTCCTCCTCCTCCTTGTTGTTCTTCTTCTTCTTCTTCTTTTTTTCCATTTTTTTTTTGTGTGTGTGTCATCCTTGCACAGGGGCCATGCTAATCTTCTTTGTATCGTTCCAATTTTGACGGATGCCCCAAAGGACAGTGCCCTCTTCTTCCTCCTCCCTTCCCCCTTTTTCTTTTTTTTCCCCTTTCTTTCGGTCTTACCGGATATGACCCCACACACTCTCCTCTCCTCAATTCTCCGTGGCGCACCCCCACTCCCCCAGTTCGTTATTTCCGTTTTTCTCCTTCCAGATTTATGCGTGGCATCCTTGCGCAGGGGCCCTTCTTTAGTGAAAAAGTAAACTTAAAAAAAAAAATTGCCCTTCTCTGTATGGATCCAATTTTAACGGATGTCCTGAAGGACACTTGCCACGTTCTTTTTTTATTTATTTAACCAGGACATTTTTTCTCGATTTTGTTCGTGTTTTGTAAAGTTCTACTGAGAAAAAAACAGATGAATAAGAGTTCGTTGTTTTTTTTTTTTTCAAGAGTGGTGTGGCGACATAGCTCACCCTTTTTTTTTTTTTTCCCCATAATCATCGTTCAGGGCCAAGTCCTCTACCTCTGCACCTGCTGGAAATCGGGTCCAGCGTCCCTTCCAATGGATAAAACATCAGGTAACTCGTCAACGATCAGAAAGCCTCTGGGGTATCAGCAAAAAAGGGACCTCTTCACCCTAAGGCACCTCAAATGAGTTAGCATCTGGTCCCACTACCACTGTACCCAGATATGTAACAACCAATTCTGAGAATCAATACAATAGCTCTGCAATTAGCCTGACAACTGAGCACTAGCCCCTAGATAATGAACAACATAACCTGAGGAAGCCTATCCTGTTGGCAACTGCCTTTGACTCTATCAATAACACTTGTATGGAGGTCTGGGACCCCTCAGCGAAGGTTCAATGATCTCTCGGTTCAATGGTGATCAATGTTTGAATGATGACTCAATGCTCTCTCTCTCTCTCTCTCTCACACACACACACACACACACACACACACACACACACACACACACACACACACACACCGTTCTCTCTCTGCACCAGGGAATTCTCCAATCCCGTCTCCTACCCTGCCTCCTACCCTGCCAGTTACGAGCTTTTTCATCACTGTTCTCTTCACCCTCCTTCTGCTCGCTGACTTTCATGTCCTTGGAAGCTTTGAAATCCATTCTCCTGGCGTAACTTCTCTTCTTATCCCAATGGACGACTGTACGGCCCAGACCTGTGTTCTCATCTTCCCTTTCTTCCTCCCCAGTCTTCTGATTCCAAAGATTCAGATCAGCACTATCCTCATCATCATCATCATCATCACCATGATCACTATCACCATTTTGAGGTGATTGCACCGATTTCAACGTTTCATTATCACCATCATTATCTCCATCCCCAGTCTTCTGATTCCAAAGATTCAGATCAGCACTATCCTCATCATCATCATCATCATCACCATGATCACTATCACCATTTTGAGGTGATTGCACCGATTTCAACGTTTCATTATCACCATCATTATCTCCATCCCCAGTCTTCTGATTCCAGTGATTCACATCACCATTATTGTCCTCATCATCCCCATTGTCCTCATCATCACTATTGTCTGCATCATCCTCATTTATGCCATTACCACCCCCTGAACTGTGAATAACATCCCATCTGTTCTTCAGTTCGACATCATTCGCTCTCAATACCTCATCATCACCATTTTGGGGCCTATGGCACTGCCCTATCACACAGACCCATCTTATTAGTTCACACCCACAGTTCAAGCACTGCACGTTCAACTCCATTGGAATCCGGCCGCGGTTTCTTCTTAGTATCCTTAATCTGCCGGAGTTCCTGGTAACTGTTCCAAAGAATCATTTAAAGCGATGACTGTTCCTCGCTGTCGCGGACTCTCGCGTTCGTTCTTGCAGCCACCGCTTCTTGGTTAAACTTTAATGGAGGAGGCTCCTAGCCTCGGTCTTGAAAGTGAGTAGGTGAAGGATGGGGGGTGATTAAGCACTTCAGGGGGCAACTGCTGAAAGTAATGGGCCAAGAAGGGCAGCTTCCGAAAATAACGGGCCAAGAAGAGTGTGTGAGGGGGGGTGTGGTAAGCCTGACAGAAAAGAAAGGGGCTGGGAGACCAAGGGTTTTCCACACAGCTACTTTTTGCGGAAGGCTCGGAGTTACTACGACGACCTTCGGTTCAGAAGATTCCAAGTCTTAGAGCCTTCCCTGCCGATACCTCTACCCCGGTTACAGCTCCGCCCCTCCTTCCCCACGCCCTAGGACAAGTTCAGCCACCTTTGCTCAAGCTCACAGTGAAGCTCGACAGCTCTGTGGCACGCCTTCCCCATGCTGAGCGCTCCGGGTCATGGCGACGAACTCCGCGTTCAGACAAACCCTAACATTTAGCGCCCGCACGTCGTAGGACTAGAGCGCTATGGCGCCGCCTCCTACTCGAATAAGAGTTCTTTTAAGAAAATGGTGTAAAACACTCAGACACTCCCCAATTTTTTATTTTTTTTTTAATTATGACCATATCTCCATTTATGCGCGTCACATAGCGCGAGGTCATGCTAATTACCCTTGTCTGGACCGTTCCAATTTTTACGGATGTCCTGAAGGACACTCCCTTGTCTGGACCGTTCCAATTGTCACGGATGTCCTGAAGGACACTCCCCAAGTTTATTCTTTTTTCTGTTCGTTTTTTCTTTTTTCAATATGGACCGTTTCTCGATTTATTCGTGTCATCCTTGCGCAGGGGTCATGCTAATTATCCTTTTCTGTATCGTTCCAATTTCCCCTCAAACTCCGTGTCCACCCACAAAAAAAAAAAAAAAAAAAAAAAAAAAAAAAAAAAAAAATAAAAAAAAAAAAAAAAAAAAAAAAAAAAAAAAAAAAAAAAAAAAAAAAAACAGAAAACAATTGAAAAAATACAGAGAAGATTAGCATGGCCCCTGCGCAAGCAAGGATGACACGCATTAATCGAGAAACGGTCCACATTTTTATAAAAAATAAGAATAAAAAAGAATTTAAAAAAAAAAAGAAAGAATAGGATTATCGCGAATACAAAACGGGAAAAAAAATCGCGAAGCAGTTAGCATATCAACGTCAAGAAGATCAGCAGGATCCTCGTGCCGCAGTCACACGAGGCATCATTATTCATTATTTATTAATAATTATTATCATTATTATGAAAAAATCTGCGTGCTTGCTAGCTTTCTGTAATGACGCGCCCAAAACACAGACTGAGAACACTGCTGATTTCTGGGATTTGCCAATGGAATGAATGCCTTGCTGTGATTCCCGCATTCTGCTGTGGTCCCAAGTCTGTGTGTGTGCGTGCCTGCTGGTTTGCATGCCTGTCTGAGTGCTTGTCGGATGTGTGTGTGTGCGTGCCTGCTGGGTTGCATGCCTGTCTGAGTGCTTGCTGGTTGGGTATGTGTGTAACCCGCCCGGGTACTTGTTGGTTGCAAGGCCCACCGGGCCGGTACTTACCTGTGGCCGTGACTTTGGAGGGTTGCAGGGGGGTAAACATGCCGGTAGCGGGGAGTAGGCCCACGGCACTTAGAGCAGCTGGGGAAAAACACTCAAGTAGCAGGTAGGCCGAGCAGAAGAAGACAAAAAGTTGGCATTTTAAGAGGCCCAGTAGCGGTAGGTTAGAGGTAGGCCGGTACCAGTCCAAGTAGCCCGGGTCTAGGGCCTGTGCGGACAATAACAGAGCCTGCAATGATGTTTCCCTCCAAAAGGGAGGAGGTACCGGTTGCTGGGAGGCCGCTTGGCCTAGGAAGTCACCGCCCAGGAGGCCGGTAGGCCGCTATATATTCAGGAAGAGCGGTGAGCTCTTCCTCATTTGCGGTATGCAAGGATTGGCGACATGTTGCTGGAGCGCAGCGCTGGTCTGAGGCAGCGCTGCTTGGAGGTGAAGGTCTGCTGGGGCTCAGCCTGGCTATGGCGAGCACCCCAGCTTGAAGGAGGAAGAA